GTTGTGTCAATTTCTGGTGTTTCAGCATAATGTTTCAGTCATATAGGAACATACATATATTGTTTTTTAATATTCTTTTTCATTATAGGTTACTATAAGGTATCGAATATAGTTCCTTGTGCTATACAGTATGAACTTGTTGTTCATCTATTTTATGTGCATTAGTAAGAATGCCTTCTTTTTTTAAGGGAAGGAGGTAATTAGGTTTACTTATTCATTTATTATTTAAATGCAGGTACTGGGGATTGAATCCAGGACCTTGTGCATGCTAGGCAGGCACTCTACCACTGAGCTGTTCCCCTCCCCTACCACGGAAGATTTTAAATCCCCACCATGATAAGAGAAAAAAATCTAGTTCTGCCCTTAAAACACTGACAAATATACAGACCTGACAATATTAGTGTTCAGTAGATGTTTGCTGAATAAATGAACTGACGGTGCCATAGGGGAGACCAGAAGAAAAGACAAAAAGCAACAACCCTGCCTCCCATTTGAATCAATTCAGTACAGCTGACCTTCCATATCCATGGATTCCAAAGATTCAACTACCCATGGATCCAAATATATTTGGGAAAAAAAAATCCATCAAGTTCCAAAGAGCAAAACTTGAATTTGCCACACCAGCACTATTTACATAGCATTTAGATTGTACTAGGTATTGTAAGTAATCTAGAGATGACTTAAAGTACATGGAGGATGCTCATAGGCTATACACAAATACTATGCCATTTTATAAAGGAACTAGAGCATCTATGGACTTTGGTGTCTGCAGGGGGCCTGGAACCAATCCCCCATGGATACCAAGGGAAGACTGTACTAAGAAACTTTATTGCCTACAAACCAAACCCATGACAAAAAGACTTAGGGGTTAAACAGAAGTCCTGAGACAATTTATTCTTGGAAAGCCTGGATTAAACTTTTTAGCATTGATACTATAACAACCTGACTGATCCATTCAGTCACTCATTCAACAAATTTTAACACATTTATTAAGCATTTACAGTAGTAATAATAATAGGTAATGCCAGTTTAAAATTTTATTTTGACCTAGCCCTGTGCTGGGTGCTTTGCACTGATTATCTCACTGAGTCCTTACAGCAGCCCTAAATTAGCCCCATTGTACAGAAAAATGTGCAGAAAGTTGCGTGAGTTGCCCACAGTTACCCAGCAACTAAATGAATTCTAAATTGACTCCAAGCCAGTGTGACTCCAGAGCTCCACATTTTTTGCTACCCTGTACCACGCTACAGGACCACACGCTAGGGGTGCCCAAAGATAAAAATACAGGTGGATCATCCCCTGAGAAGGATTACAATGTCATCGACTCAAAGACTGTAAGAGCAGGTCATCTCGGCTCTCCTTTTACAGATGAGAAACCAAGGCTAAGTGAGGCCATTTACCCAAAGTCACCCAGACAGGTTTGGAATGCCTCCCTGCCAGCCCTCTGTGTTGTCTCTCACTCCACTTGTCTTTCACTCACTACACGGAGCTAGAAACCCCACTTACTGAGTAGACTACTAGATCCAAACTATCACCACAGAAATAAGAAACCAGATGGAAATGATTTTTAACTAGGTAAATTTGTCTCCTTATACATAATCCTCACTGATAACTTTCAAACTGACAAATTGTTGAAGCTGCATGTGGATCTCGGCCACATTATAAATCAACTACACTTCAATTAAAAAAAAAAAGCACCAAATTCGAGCAATTTAGAGTTGGCATTGGGTCTCCCTGACACCCTAGGTTTCCAATTATCTTTTCAGGCCCATCTTGTCTCCTGCTCTGAGGCCATTTAACAGGCCATTACTAAGCAATTGCATAACTGGAACAAAAGCAAGATAGAATCAAAAGGACGTTTTGAGCTGGAGCAACAGGAGCCACTAATTCAACCTCCTTATTGGAAGCACAAGAAAACCTAGGTCTGGGAAGCAACATAACACAGTGGAGCTTTCTGAAAGCGTGGGACAAACAAGGCAGAAGTCACAGCCGTGTTACTGGGTGGTACAGCTCTGGGTATCCCCTCTGACCACTATGAACTTCAGTCTCCTTGTCTGCAAAATAGAGATCATCATAGTCCCTATTTCGGGGTTTGTCTTGAAGACTACCTATAATAAAGTACATTCCAACTACCTGGTCCATAGTATGCATTCAGTAAACATAGCAATAATGATTATGATCCGGACCTAGTTCTGCCCCCTTCATTCACCCGTTGATTTGTCTCGTTTATACAGTGGAGGAACCCAATGAGATAATGTTTGTAAAAGCTTTGCTCAGACCTCCATTCTCTGAGTTTCAGCTCTAATGTACACCTCACAGAAGACTTCAGCACCTGCCAGAGTGGGAATAAATGATTCCCTCTTCCATGCTCTCTGGCTGCAGCCTAATCAGCCTCCACCTCACTTTCTCCTGTATTTGATGTTGCTTCATTTATACCCAAAGCACAAATTCCTTGAGGTGAGAGATCTTTGCTCTCTCTCTCTCTCCTCCCCCTCACTACCCCTGTACAGTCACCTTATACAGAGTGGGCACTTACAAATGCATGGGCCTTGTCCTGAATGCATGTTTAACAACTCAACTGCCACATATGTGACAAGCATTTGAGAATTACGATTAGGAAGTTGAACTGAGTTCTTAAGCAGGGAGGGTTTTGGGTTTTTTGTTTTGTTTTGTTTTTCAAACAAAATTTTGTGGGGCAAATACAAAAAAAAAAAAAGCTGGTATCTAGGCTCAGCCCAAGGACACCTGCTACACAGGGCATCTCTCTTGGAGGTGAAAGGACCCTACAGATCTGTCATTGCCCTTGTCCTTATGGCAACTGCAGTGACAACCTTATAGCCGGGCAACATCCTCTCATTTCACTTTTGACAGCTCCAGGAAACAAGAGAAGCAGTGGAACTTGTTCCAGCCCTGAGTTCCGCAGGTCACCTGTACACAGAGCTCCTGTCCAGGTAGGGGCATTATGCCTGAGGCTGGCTGTGGGATGGCAGACAGGAGGGGAATACACTCTGGGATCCTTCTGTGCTTCAGTTCCTCTTTCGAATGATGGGAATAAAACTACCTTGTTCTCCAAGATTCTACCTCCCCAAATTGGTGACAATGTGATTTCAAAAACTGCCAGGACAGATAAGCAATGAATGTCAAGGGTGGAGTTGGTCCTGAGGGACGGTGCTCCAAAGCAGAGCGAAGGCACAAGCTCTCTGCATAACAGATATAAAAATTGGCTAATATTTGTTAAGGGCTCACTGTGTGTCAAGCCGTGTGCCAAGC